ATTATATCCACTACCCATCACAAGAAACACGGGGTATATCGAACACCCTCACCAGAATTTTCTACTTCTCCCCCTCCGAAACATGTTCCAAATTTCGTGGTTATTAGCCTTTGGATAATCATCTTGCACCCCTAAGATTTAGGGAAAATTATAACTTAAGACTGCTTTGAGTCATAATTATTTTATTTTCAACAGATTGAGCTATGGCTGACACAAGAACAGCCTTGATTATTATTACCCTTGTCATGTTCCCAGCGCCGACGGCACAGGACGCTGCAACTGGAGGTAAGGACCACGAAATCGCTAAATAGTTTATATATGAACAACAATGAAGTCAAAAAGGATAGCGCAGCCGAAATTGCAGTTTTATAAGACTCCAGCTAGCTGTTAGGGTGGTATTTTTGATTAGTTTAGATCCCTATGTCTAGGGTTGTAATTGCAACAAAAAAAACAATTTATTTTCGTCTTGCCATATAAATTGCCATGCGTTTCTTACAATAAATACAGCATCCTGCCTCTGCTTCATACAGATCTGTTAAGGTTATTATAATCCGAGAAGAATGCAAAAAGTCTCGGTCGCACATTTTTTAATGTAAAATGTTTACATTTTGCGTTAGTAAAAATAAAATTGTTAATACATAACACCGAAAAAAAAGTCTTTTAGAGAAGGAACTAAAATGATAATAATAATAATTATTTTAATTGTAATTATAATACCGATTAATTTCCAGTTACAGTTTACAATTAAGACTGTGGGTTCCTTAAGGTTTTTTTTTGTCCTATTATTTTTATTCAGTAATTATACTGTTCCTTTTTGTTGCTAAAAATTGCTTTGTAGTTTGTCTGATAGAACAAAAACAATACGAGATAAGGAAAGAGCAGGAAAAGGTTACGAGATTAATCGATGAAGTTGCTAGAGACATTGAAATCACTTGCTTGGGTAAGTAGAAGTAAGACTTGAAGGAGTAAGTAATTCCCTTGAGATTTGAAAGCCATTTGAATAGGTGGCTTTATAAAGCATCGCACGTGAGAAGCAATGCCTTTTAAAATGCTAAAAGAAATCAGTTACATACGACTTAAACCTCGAACGCAATACGCAAATTCGTACCTCCATTGTGGTACACGGGAGAGCAGGGGGAAGTGGATTGTGAATGGAACTCCCTAGATTTTTTGATGTGTTGCAATATTTCGAAACGATTTTACCTTCAGTGGAAAGCCTTTGATCTTCTTAACAAGATGACATATATTTTATGGGTGGTGGCACTGCTGGAGGTCAGTAACGTCACCAACAATGGTCACCATCGTGGCCGCCATCTTGTACTTTACCAAGAATTAGAAATCAGGTTAAAACCGGGAAAAATAACACATAAATAAGCACTTAACATGATTTTAGCCACAAGATTTACTTTTATCGTTTAAAGAAGTTGAAAAAACATCTATTTTCACTCTAAAATGGCTTGACCACCTGCTACGTCGTATCTCGTAACCATAAACACTGACCATCACTGAAAACTTGACTCAAAATGTGCCGGAGGGTCAAACGGACAGATACTTAAAACGTCAGACCCGGTGCTGATGTTTTACTCTCTAGGAAATAACTTAGAAAAAAATTAGGGGGTGATACCCCCCCATGTGTACGTCCCTGGTTTAAGGTCACTGACACCGAGCAACCCTTTATAGAGACTACGTCACCCTTCACCAGTAAATTATACTCTTCCGACTTCAAGAAGAGAAATTTAAGGGGTCGACGTCTCGCGTCCAAACGATGCTGATTGAACTACATGTACCGTAAATGACCTAATAAACGCCCGGGGTGTCTATTTGATTTTAGAGGTCCGAGCGGGGGCGCTTAAAAGAGAGAGGCGTTTATTCTCATAACTTAACAAGCTCGAAAAAACTAATATCCTGTAAGCGAAAACACCAAGAGAGTTTGAAAATAGCGGAACATCGATCCACTCCATCGATTGATACGTCTAAGCCGTCTTATAGAGATCCGTATCGCTCTTTTAAATACCAACATCGATGTTAGAAACCTCCCTCAGTCTAATTGTGGTGTTATCGTTAGTGTATCCTTACTTTAAACTTGACATTGAACGAGAGAAAATATGCAAAGCCTTATTAATCAAGCAAGAAATTAAATGAATTGAATGATTTTCCTCCATTTCGCTAATTCCTTGCATTTTAAAGTAATTCTTATAGGGGGCGTCTTTTACACAGTTTGCGTTAATTGGAGAGGGGCGTCTGATACAACAACAACAACGACAACCGACCAGTTTATTTTGCCAACTTAAAAAACGTTTACAAAGAGCAGAATAAATTAAAATAGATCAGGCAAAAAAACTATTCAGAATAGCAAAAACTGGAACTAGCTGAGTAGCTACAAGAATTAAAATACAACTTTAGGGTTGTGACACACCTAAGATAACGGGGAAAATATCTTAAATTTAGGAGAAACAAAAAAATGATAAGGAAACACAAACAAATACATTTATTAATTTAATTGAAAATAAAATAGAACAACATAAACCAAAAACTAAACGGTGCCAGAGAATCATAAAGTTTACATTTATTAAATAACGGTAAGTCATACCAGCATGCTAGCCAGCATCAACAGTATGTGAATAAAAGATTTGCCTTCATCGTTTGCTTGAAAAAATGTAAAGAACTATACTTTTTAAATTTTCAACAAGAACCAGAGAAGTGTATATTAAATTTACCATAATTAGTTCTGACCTGATCGATATAATTATTAATAAGTTGTCTTTGATGCTAGCTTAGTATTATACCCATGCTTAGATGATATAAGTGAAAAGAAGTTGTCAAAAGCCTTAGGTAGTAGATGATAATGAAATTGAAACATAAAAAGTGCAATATCTAGATCCATGAGCTTGATTAAACCTAGATGTGAAAACGGTGGGCTAGAGTGAACATCACGATTACAATATATTATTATTATTAGCACTGCGTTTTTCTGTAAAACTACAGCAGCGTTTAGAGTTATAGCATAAGTGTTACCCCAGACAATTAAGCCATAAGTAAGGAAAGGATACACTAAGGAGTAAAATAATTAGATGAGAATATCATTTATGACAAAATGTCTAAGTTTAAATAGGATACCAGTACCTCTTGAAATGTCCTTACTAACCTCATGCGTTTGTTTTTCCACTTTAAATGACAATCAATAATAAGATCTAGGTATTTGACAATTGCTCCACAGCCCTGCCTGAAATTTGAAAACTGATAGATTGAGGTTTCCTCTAAGGAGGTCAAAAGACTACAAAATTTGTTTTATGAATATTTAAAGACAGCCAATTTACGTGGAGCCATTGGTAACTTTATCTAATTCTTCGTTTAATTTTAACTCAAGGGAATGTAAATTTTGATCTTGTAAAAAAAAATGTTGGTATCGTCTGCAAAACGGTGGAAATCAAGTACACTGGAACATTATGGATATCATTTACATATATCAAAAAGAACAAAGGCCCTAAAAAGGAACTCTGTGACACTCCACGTAGAATTTGGTCTGCATCTGAGTCTATAGTGCCGACAGGGACAATTTGACTCCTATTAGGTAAATAGGAAGAAAAACTCATTCGTATGCAATGTCCCTGATACCGTAGTATTCCAATTTTTCACGCAGGACGTGACGGTCAACGGTATCAAAGGCCTGCTCCTAGTTGGCTTGTTAGTTCAATTGGTAAGAGCGCTGCACCGGTATCTCAGACGGCAAGGGTTCGAATCCCGTACAAACCTGATTTTTTTTTTCAGTCTTTCTTTTCGCAACTGCAAAAGTTGCGTCTATGACTGCGATGATCTTCTTTCATATGATTCTTCACCCCGCAGTTCTCATATATGATTTCCATCTATTCATGACTTCAGTATTAAAGGCCTTACATAGATCAATAAAAATAAGACAGGAATAATTCCTACTGTCAATAGCTTTTTGGATTTTATCCACCGTAAGAATAAGAGCATGAACTTTAGAATGATTGGAACGAAAACCAAATTGTTGATCAAACAAGATAGATGATTGTTCAAATTACTCAATAATTAATCTATCATACATTAGTCTTTCAAGAATCTTACTGAATACAGACAATAGTTAGATTGGACGATAATTAGATACCATAACAGGTTTATAAACTGGAATAACCTTTGCCACTTTAAAATGATCGGGAACAACGCCCGATGTAAAAAGCAATTACAAATAATTGCAAGAGGGTAAGAATACAGTTTTTTAAAACGACAAGAGGACTACCGGGTTACTAAAGGGTCCATTTGCCCTTTTGGAATTTAAGGTACTTATAATATCTATTATCATAATTTCAAAGTTAGCTACTGGTAAGAGAAAAAAACTTGAACTGCAAGGATTATCAAGGTATTACGCTGTGTGCGTACAAGTCCTACAATTAGTTATTTCAACTACTAACCTTGAGCCAAAAGTTGCAAAGAATTATAATTAAATTCCTGCATAGTGCTATTAATGTAGGATCAATTATCTCTTGATCATCCTTAATAGGTTTATTGGGCCTGAAGGAGTCTTTCTTCTTAAGTGATACAAGTTGCCCTATTCCTCTCCTAATATTTTTGACATTACTTTGATTAGCTTTAAAATAGTTTTGGTAGTAAAACTTTTTACTCAGTCGCAGTAAACCAGGTTAATTAGGAGAGGTGTTTATTATATAAGATTATTTGGCAGTGAGCGCCTATTAGATCATTTACGTTACTTGACACCAAAATCATGTTTAAGCTTTAAGAGCTGGATATCTTTCTATTTTCAATGAAGCAAATTGTTGAATTTTCAGAGATATTTAATTTCGCACGTCTAAATAGACCATTTTACCGATACGGCGGCCATATTGAATAAATTAGATTTAATGAGTATTATGGGATTCCCAGGGGGCATAAACATCGATCTGTTATGCACAAACAGTGTTATCGCGCCCTTTTCGAGGTAATTTTTCTTAAAGTTTTACGACTTTTACAAGAATAGCATTGTAATGGGGAAGAAAGATCCTTGTGCCGTGTTCGGTTGCAATAACGATCGCCGTTTTCTCGATAAATATGTGGTAAAAGACCATACAAGTTTCTTCGGAGGAAAACCAGAAGTTCGTTTCTGGTCTTGCAAGGACCCAAGGCAAGTTTCGACGTGGACCAGACTACTTAGCCGTAAAAGATTTGAGGTGAACAAAAATACAAAAGTTTGTTCAAATCATTTTCAGTTTGGAAAACCAGTTGATAGCCACCCTCATCCCACGCTCTTTCTCAAGGGATACGATCGGGAAACTGAAATAACACGCAAGAGAAAAGCTCCCATGGAAAGACTAGCAGTACAACCAACTGGGAGAAAGAAGAAGAGGTCGGACAATTATAAACAGCGAGTAGAAACAGAAACATCTCATATTTTGGAGACTCCGGAAAGAGAGCAAAATAGTGCGAGTGACAGTAGTGAAGACCCTGATCAAATACTGGTGGAAAAAGTTATAATCCCCGTTTCAGACACTGTCAAACAAGATCCAGTGAAAAAGACATCAGCTCTCAAGCAAGGAGAAGTGGCTGATGATTGCTGTAGTAAGAGTGAACCCAGTGAAGACCCTGATCAAATGCTGGTAGAAAAAGTTACAATCCCCGTTTCAGATACTGCCAAACAAGATCCAGTGAAAAAGACATCGGCTCTCGAGCAAGGAGAAGTGGCTGATGATTGTTGCAGAGAACAAAAATTTGTTGTTGGGCAAGAGGGTCCACAGGTTACTAAGAAAGCAACGAAAACTAAGTCTGAATTTAGCTTTGAGAAAATTAAGAACTCAGACAATCTTATGAAACTATATACTGGCTGCCCTAACTATCAGATATTTTTGTTTATTTTCAACAAAGTAAAGCCAAAAGTTAGGAAACTGCAATACCACAAAGGAAAATAACAAGCAATAATATAAATACAACTAAACATTATCAAAATAGTCCCACCAAACCTGGCTGGAGAGGAAAACCGGGACCATGTAGTGAACTGAATACTGAAAATCAATTACTGTTGACTTTAATGAAAGTAAGGCTGGACTTGCATGTTGAAGATTTATCTTTCAGGTTTGGTCTTTGCAAAGCATCCGTTTCTCGTATTATTTCAACTTGGATCCCATTTCTTGGAATGGAACTACAACCTCTAATTAATTTACTGGCCAACAGTAGAACAGACCCTTAGTTACACTCCAATTTGCTTTGTTGGGAATTTGAAGAAGGTAGAGGGAATAATTGACTGTCCTGAGCAAAGAATTGCAACACCCTCCAATGCAAAAATGCAATATCAGACTTACGGTCAGTATAAAAGTGCCAATACTCTTAAAAAATTGATTGTTTGCACCAAGTCTGGCTCAATAAGCTTCATTTCAGATGCATATGGGGGGGCTGCTTCTGATCGTTTTATCACAGAAGATTGTGGTGTAGTAAGTAAATTTAAGAGAAATATGGTAGCTTTGGTAGATAGGGGTTTTAGTGTCCAAGATATATTTCTGGCATATCATGTGACAGTGGCCATACCACCCTTTACAAAAGGAAAAACACATTTTACAAAAGTGCAGGTTGAACAGGCTAAAACAATTTCAAGGGCACGCATTCATGTAGAGAGAGCCATTGGTCGTCTTAAGGAGTTCAAATTGTTATCACATGAACTTCCTTTAAACATGCTAGATTTGGCTGACTATATCTGGATTATCGCTGGAGCAATTACAAACCTTCAGCCATCTCCTGTTATTGAATAGTTTTAGTCATGAACTAACAACAGAAGAAGCACAAGAGGAAGAAAGCACTATGTATTTAAGAACTGACTTAGACAAAATTTCCTCTTAAAAAAGTTCTGGATTAATGTACTTATTAAAGAAATGTTCAAATGTTCAGATTTTCTTTGTAGTTTGGATGTCTTAAGAAGCACAAGTGGAAGCATTTATTATGTCTTTAAGGATTGACCTAACAATTACCTTTGACAAAATTCTCTTTTCAAAAAGCTCTGGACATATGTAATTATTAAAGAAATGTTCAAATTTTGCCAGATTTTCTTTGTAGTTAGGATCTAAAGTTATCTTTTCTGTGAATGTGTCCTTTGTGGTGTAAACATAAAAATATTCTTCTTCCTTCTGACACACAAACAACTGATGTTGAACTTGAGTAAAATATCTGTGGTTATGTTTGAGTTGAACTCCTGGGAGACTAGAATTCCCTCCTGTTGAGCTGGATGTCAATAAGCAACACTCCTTCTCCTTTACATACTCTGGTATAGATTTGCCTCTGTGTGTCCAAGAGCATTTGCATTCAAATAGTGTATCTGGGCAGCAGTTGCACTTACAGTAACCATCAGGGCTTGCTGCTATGTAAGGGGACTTTACTGAGATAACAAGACCTGACTCAGTACATGCAAAGTTCTTATGAGTTGCTTTCATTGTTTTATTAAATGTCTTACGAGCCACTGACTCTGTCTGTTTGCCCCACTGAACCGATTTGCTCTTAACCTCAGGAAGGTAGCCACAGATTTCAGCACAAAGATTTTCAGCAGAAATTTCATTTTTAACTGTCATGTCTGCATTATACTTTACAATTACATCATGCGCCTTTGAGGCAGTAATTCTTCCAATTCTGTATTCTTTCCACTTTGGATCCTCAGATTGTTCTCTTGTAAACTTGCTAACAAGATCAGCCTCCCCTTGGGATATTTTCATTTCCTCTTTCAGGGCAATGCATTTCTCCTGAAGACTAGCATTTGGCATTTTCTTTTTAATCTTTTCCACCATTTCTGGAATAGTAGGTGGAAAACTGATAGAGTCAAGTGATTCTGCTTTTTTCCTTTTATTGACTTGTACATAATCAGTTTTTATAAAACATAACACTGCACATTTACCAGTAGTTGCCACAGCTATTTTCTCCCAATCTTCATTTTCAAAGCTTGAAAACCTGTCACCTGGCGCTCTTGGATCAAATGCACTTCTATTCAGGCGCTCCGCCTCCTCTGAAATTTGGAGACCAGCTCTGGTCTTCTTAACTTTCATGTTTTTAGTCTTATCTGGCTGATGAATTTTTTTTCGCTTACTTCTCTTTCTCCCCCATTGTTGGGGATTAGAGGTACAGGTCTTAGTGTTTCGCACTCTTACCTCATATTCTATATAATGTAATAGAGAAGATACATGTTTGCAGCTCTCTCCATAACCGGCAAGACAGCCACATTCTCCGATAAGTATATCTCCATTAGTAGTATTCAGGCAAACCCACTCAGTGTACGGATTTTCTCCGATTCTTGTTTGCGGGACAACTTTTCCACGTACATAACAAAATTTAAGACAGTTTGAGATATTGTTAAACTCGACTTCCGAGACATGTCCGTTTTCGTACAGATTTTTTCCCTCTTTCGCAGATTTCCTGTCATTACTTTTTGACAGGTAAAGTTCAATGTCGTTCATCGTCATATCGGGAAAATTATGGCTTCCTCTTACCCAGTTTTCCAATTCTTCCGGGAGAGGAAGTGAGATTCCGTCGATAAAGAGCTTTTCCTTTCGTCTCGCTTTGATTTGGGCATCGTCTTGTTCTTTAGTGCTACACAATGGCAAATCTAGACGACGAGCATGGTAAACTTTCGAAATCAAGTCGCGTTTACGAGTATCAGTGGTGATAACAACTCCCCGATTTTTCAAGTATTTTCGCAGTTTCTCGACGTTCTATGCGTTCAGTTCCTCAATACTGAACTCCTTTTTGTTTTCATTCGACCGGTCGGCCATGATTAAAGCAAATAAAACTACAAAATGCTCTCAGATAAAAAAACACTTGTGCGATACGTATGTCAGGCGAGATTTGTTTATGCCCCCTGGGAATCCCATAATACTCCTTTAATCTAATTTATTCAATATGGCCGCCGTATCGGTAAAATGGTATATTGTGAGTAGTTGGATCATGTAAACAACAAAGCCTATATTTATCACGAGATTTGTGGTACATTGTACTTAAATACAGCTGTTCTTTAAAAGCATCGAAAGCTAGTTATTACAAAAAAGGTGGATTCGTTGAATCGAAAGCAACTTTTCAAGTTTGTCGATGAATTGTTCAGCATAAATTGTGCTCCAACGTTACCAAAACTTGACTCCCTCGGAACACTTACCGAAAGTTTTGTGGAGTTTTTCGAATGTACAAAATCATCCATGGCATTTTCCAGCCTATTTAAATGAGGTTCTATTTAACTACACTTCCGGCGTTTATTGCAGTGACGGTCAAGTAGCTTAAACCTTCCTGCGGTCTATTTCAAAGACTAAAACGGTTACCTATGGAGACAGATCCTTCTCAGTCATTGCACCAAGGCTCTGGAATGACTTACTTGTTATAAACAGTCTTCCACAGTTGACTCTTTTAACTTGTGAATGAAAACTTTTCCATTTAACAGTGTGTATAATTACTTGAGGTATATAACTAAGTTAAAAAAGCATTGAGACTTGCATGCGTTTTAAGCACCTTATTGTTATTATTATTATTATTATTATTATTATTACAAGTGATACCGGTAAAAGTAAATTATAATTATTTTACACTATATAAAGATTCGAGTTTAAAACCTTAAAATAATTTGATCAATAAGGGTTAGATTTTTCGTCTCTCTTCGGTGCCGCAAATTTATACAATGAAGAAACGGTTCGAGGTTGTCAGTTATAGTGAGAAGTGACGTCATTTGCTTTTATTATTAGTGACAAATTTGGCATCCTATTTTAAACAGGTCTTCTTTTCGATTTTAACTTGCAATGTCGGTCAATTTGCGCTACTTTTAAACTTCTGGCTCAGTTTTTGTTTGCTTCTACTTTAAAAATGGAATAATAATTACTCAGAGACAATGAAGTGTAAAGAATTGTTGAAAAAAACAACAAAGACTGCTAGTTTAAGACAAAAGAGGTACTTTAAAAACGAACTAAAACATTCAAAACGCTTTGATCACGGGACTGATGACGTCATGTTCCTCTTTTGGTCATGAAAAAAATTATCAAGTAGAACATTATTTTCCTGCAAATTTTCTCTGCCGTTTGATAAAAACGTTGACTCTTTATAGCCCTCTGCCTAGTCTCCCCACTTTTTCGCTCATGTTCATTACCCGCTTAAATTTTAAATGCCAGCAGGAGCCCATCAAATGGGTTCCTGATGCCGGACGTCAACTGGTTATTTTTAAATGCCCCACACAACCACTTGAAAACCTTAAATATGACATTTGTTTTTAACTCGTTAATGAAATCTTGTCACAGCAACAAATATATCCTAATCCGGCGATAGTCACGTCACTGATGACGTTATTACCTTATTCCCGGTAACATGGGAAGATATTTTATGGCAAGTGTTATCTTGTTGTCTTCTACGTATGAAATTGTCAAAGTTATAAAGCTTTTTTAAAAAATGCCTCAAATGATTCTGGGAGATTTTTTTAATAATTATAACTTACTTTTATAATTATTATCATTATAATTATCAGCATTATTATTTTTGAAAGGTTTTAACTTTTCAGTGACATAGACACGCTTTGTTAGCGCTTTGAGTCTTGAAAACTAAGAAAAAATATAAAACAAATAAGCGAGATAAGCAACTGTAGAAAAGTTGCAACTTAACATGAATAACTTGATTGATTGATTAACTTAACTTAAAACTTTATTTCAAGTTTAAGCGTTTATATTTGTAACGTAACTTCTACTTCTTGATTTCTAGACGAATGTGAAAAAGGGAAACATAACTGTCATGCTGATGCATTTTGCACCGATACCAAACGTTCCTTCATGTGTACTTGCAAACCAGGATATTTTGGGGATGGTGTTAGCTGTACAGGTAACTATCATCGCGCAAAATTAGTGGACATCATTAGCTATTCATGACCGCCGAAGCGGCAAATTCCAACGCACGAGCGCTTTCAATGACCAAATTTATACCAGAGACGAGTTATCCGTCTAGACGGATTATCCGTCAGACAGATAATTCGTCTACTTATAAATCCGAAGACGAATTTTGCTCATAATCTGTCTAGATATTTTAAGCGGGAAACAACCGTGGAAAACCAGTCCCTCTCATGTGGAAACTTCAGTAGTATAGGGCGCACCGGTTAGGCCTCTTTTTTGGGGGGGAATCTCATTAAGGTGGGGGGGGGATAAATTAACGTCGCTGACGTCATAGGCTATTGTCTTGATCTCATGAATAAAATTCGCAGGAATCTCATTAACTTGCGGTGGAATCTCATTAAGTATATCCAGTTTGACGGGTTTATCAATGATGTCATGTTCTATTTTTATCTTGTGGTGGTCATGGTTGGTATAACCGGTTTGACAGGTTAGTTATTTTCGGAAGATGATGTCATATGTATTCCGGGTTACTATGATGTCATAGTTGTTTTGATTGGTTGACCGGAATTAGAAAGACGCTCATTGGCTGTCTCGTTTGACGAAGCATTCTGGCTGGTTGCCGTATTTTTTATTGTTTGAACGGCATAAAAGCCTGCTCACTACCTTCCCGCATACTAATTTGGATTTCCCGCATACTAATTAAGTGTCTTCCTCCATATATAATGAAGTGGATAGGAAGTTACGGATGTTTGTACATAGGAAATTAGTTTGTAAATAAATCATTGGTCGAATTTCATCGTGGCTTGTTTCCTGACTTGACGCACACGACTTACACGCGAGATCTCCACGCGCGCCCAGGGGAAAAACACAGGGCTAAAAAGGTGCCCTTTCTGCCCTTTCTGCCCGATCTGCCCTTGAAATAAAAGCGCGCTTTCCCTTCAGTATTTCATTCTTGCAATCGCTTTGCTAAGGAAAAAGTCTTACTATCACCAATATTTTTTACAACATTGCTCCAAACATGCAAGTCGAATCGAGCTGTAAACTTGTCTGACTATTACAGAACTGTTTTCTCCTCTCTATCTCGAGGAAAAGAAAAATTATTGAAGTCTTGTCATTTTCACGCACGGTTGATCAGGTAATTATGCGAGTTCACAAGCCCAAAGTTGAATACAAATTAGCTCATCTGTACAGCTAGACCCAAGGGAGCACCTTGACGTATTATTATAAAAAAAATAACTTAACAATGATCAATTGGCACACGCGACTAATAATTGCTAGCAATAAAACCACAAGAGAGATACCGTTTTAAAAAACTTTATTAAAAAACAATGACAAAAAGAGTCAAATACACAGCGATTTGAAAGGAAAAGGGATGAAAATTAATCCATTGACTGACTATTACACATCAGTTTTTTTCCGTTCCAAAATAATCGTTCCCTGTCTACACAATTTTCCTATGGCCTCTAAGACAAGAGTTCGACTTTCTTTGTTTCTTGTACTTTGTCTTGTTCTTTGGAGTTCGTCTTTTAGCTTTTGATTTACTATTAAAAGAGGCTTCATTTCTCTGTGATCTTGACAGTTCGCAGTACACCGTTTCTTGTGTCTGTACTGGATTGTGATAGTGATTTTTTCCAGGATTATCCGCTTCACTTTCGTAAACGACGACTTTAACTTTAGGTTGCAGTTTCGCCTCTTGTAAATACTGTCTTCGCTGTATGTGGTCTAACTGATGAACATCCGCGAGATGGTTAGCTAATCTGGCAAGGTACTTCGCCCCACACGATGAAATAGGACAGTTTCTGGAAACTCTCTTGTAAACCATGTTGACAGTTCGATGGATGAACACAACTGACATCTTTTCCGCAAATAGTCAGGTTATAGAGTGTCAGAAAGGCCAAACACAGGCCAGAAAGGCCATAACCATGCCTGGAAGGCCAAAACCAGGCCAAAAGGGACAAAAGGAGACAAACGGGCCATTTCTAGTCATGTGTCTTTATTTTTTCTCAGACACACGCGTGGGTGTCGCGCATCGCTAGTCACGCAACAGCTCTCAACATTGGAATCATCATCTTTATTAAGTGTAATCACAAATAACGGTGCCTAATTAAAAAAAGTTTTGACCGCGAATTAGTAATTGGTATTTCAAATTTCAGATTTTTTTATTTATTGTGCAAGTTTACTATTATAGTTATTATTTTCAAGTCAGCAATACAACACTCTTAAAGTTAAAGTTCTGTAATAGTCAGACATGTTTACAGCTCGATTCGACTTGCATGTTTGGAGCAATGTTGTAAAAAATATTGGTGATAGTAAGACTTTTTCCTTAGCAAAGCGATTGCAAGAATGAAATACTGAAGGGAAAGCGCGCTTTTATTTCAAGGGCAGATCGGGCAGAAAGGGCAGAAAGGGCACCTTTTTAGCCCTGTGTTTTTCCCCTGGGCGCGCGTGGAGATCTCGCGTGTAAGTCGTGTGCGTCAAGTCAGGAAACAAGCCACGATGAAATTCGACCAATGATTTATTTACAAACTAATTTCCTATGTACAAACATCCGTAACTTCCTATCCACTTCATTATATATGGAGGAAGACACTTAATTAGTATGCGGGAAATCCAAATTAGTATGCGGGAAGGTAGTGAGCAGGCTTTTATGCCGTTCAAACAATAAAAAATACGGCAACCAGCCAGAATGCTTCGTCAAACGAGACAGCCAATGAGCGTCTTTCTAATTCCGGTCAACCAATCAAAACAACTATGACATCATAGTACCCCGGAATACATATGACATCATC